CGCCCCCCGATCCGGTCACACGACGGTCGTGCTGAGGACCGTCACCCATAGTCGTGCGGAGTCTCTTCCGACCGTTGCATGGTGTCCTGCACGCGGAGACTCGACCGACCGACCGATCGGATCAAACAGGGTCCCTTATACGGACCCACGGACCCTGTTGACTCCCTGAGGTCGTTCGGACCTTTGGATTCCACCAGGTCATGCGGCGAATCACACGCCCGACATTCCATGCTTCATTCACCCGAAGCAAATATGGATGGCCAAGGCCAATCACCACAGCTTCGCATGTGAAACAGTGTGAAACATGAAACTCTGACTCAATGCATGAATATCACCATGTAAAAATCTGTACATCTTCTAACTTGAGCATGGTGGGTGTTCCACTTCATAACGTCATTCAACCAAAGCGTCAGTGACGTCAGACAGACCGTGTCCATCGGTTTTTCCGAAACCGTTTTCACCGCCGGTACGGTCTCGGTCATGGTGCTGTCGCCAGCCCTCCCATGGCAGCATGTACTGATGCGTCCTCCACAGCGCAAAGAAAACGGTCGTGCGATGGCGCGCCGTGTGGGGTGATGCTAGTCATCAGGATCAGGCCGTCGAGAAGAGATCGATGGACATTTCTCACGAAGGTCTGAAAAAGACTTACAACAAGCACCAAAAGCCAGAACAGAGTCACTTGACATGGTTTCTCTATGTTTCTCTCATAGAGAAGCGCTCCTCCTGTCACTTGGCACATGCCTCACATGGAAGAGACTGGTCTGTTGCCCAATGAAGACTGGGAGTGTGTTTTGTTGCCGGAATCCAAGCTGGTGAAGCACTTTCAGAGAATGAAGTCTACGGCCAGTGTGGTCACTCAATCCCACACGCAGGTCTACACATTACCATCCCTGGCACAGGTGGGGAAGCACATGGCAAGATGGTATCACCTGGTCGACTGGATGGTTGGTTGTAGTCTCCACGAAACCATCCACAGCTGAAACTTGCCGCCACGTAGCTTGGTCGTAAAGATTGGATCTTTGACTTCGCACTGAGGACCATGCTGCTGCTGAGATTGCTGCAAGCCATGTTGCCAGTGAGCTTGATTCTGGCAGTATCGGCCGGCTAAAAGGATGCAAGCAAATCAGCAAAGCGTGATGCATGTTCACGGCCCACTGGCCTTCTTCTCTTTCTTACGTTCCTAAGGCCTGTTGTGAGAACCACACCTCTTGCCTCGCTCCATCAACGAGTGTAGCTGTAGCTGCGTGATTTCAGCTCAAAAGTGTACAATCCCAAAATGGAGGGTGCTTCATTCTGAATTTCACCCGTCACACGTCTACGCCACCGTCTACGCCCACCTCTCGGAGGCCGTGCGACAGGGTATGATGTCCACCTCGAACCGGCGTTCGGACCGGCCGGAACCGGTGCCACGTCCAAAAACAGCGAAAACAGCGAAAACACCCAAGAAAAACCGTAGATGTGGTTATTGTTATTATGCTATGATATATATATATATATGGATGAATGTAGATCACAAACCTATGTTAGGTTCTTAGTTATTAGATCATTTTATAGGTCAATCAGAATATATACAAATATTATATATTCTTATTGCGTTTTGAGATTATGTCATAATTATGTCATGTTATATATATATATATGTATTTAAAGAATAGAGAGAGAGAGAGAACACACACACACACACACACACGTGAGCGGCTGGGTATGCCCATCTACACCCTGCAACACGGGTTAGAGACTCCTAAAAGCGGCCCCCCTCAACCAAAAGGAGCTAAAACCAAAACCGGCACCTTTGAGAAACACGGTCTTTCTCCGTCCCCATCTCTGCTCGTCGGTCTGGCCCACGGCGCCCCGGCCCACGGCGCTGCGTGGAGCTTCCACGTCTCCGGCACCACGGTGCAAGGTGGTCGTGGGGCCCTGGCAGGCGTGCGCCCCGAAGTGGCGGACGGTGGAAGGCTTGAAGGGTGGAATGGAGTATATGAGGTTTTTCCGGAACATCCATTGGCTCCAAGTATGTCGGACCCCAACACACATTGCCTCCTAAGTTCTGCGCTGCGTCCGAAAGTCCACTCCCCCACGTCACACGCAGCACAAGCGAAGCCGGTGGAACCGCGCGCACATCTGGGCGCGACTCGTCGTTGCCTGAAGGCGATGCTCGGAGTTGGACGGCGCCGAAGTGAGGCCGCAGCGTTGCGAAGCGAAAGACCACAGCAAAGAACACGTCGACCCTTCACCACATGACACGGTTCTTCGATGTTCTGTCCTGATGTTGGTTCCACCCAAAAAAACAAAGAAACAAAAAGCAGTATCAATTGATGTTGCCAAGGCACAGTAGCGCATGTCTTCATAATGCTGCTGTTGTTGCTGCTGTTGTTGCTGCTGCTGCCTCATGTCCGCAAAGAAGCAAAGTCCATTCAAGTGAGAGCAAGCACTAGTTGCAACAAAATTCCAGATGCGATCAGTCTGGAGTGATTGATACTGACACAATCCGCTACAAGGTTTGGGGCTATGCAAGTCTTGGGGAAAGGTATTTGACATGACATGTGGATCCTGCTGGCTTCCAAGGTGCTGAAATTGCTGCTGCTGATGATGCTGCTGCTGTTGTGGCTGTTGTGGCTGTTGATCCATGGTATTGGAGCGAAGCCAGCCAACGAATTCACCGCCTGGCAGAGTTGAGCAACGCTAGAAGAATGGATTGGCTTTGGAATATGCTCTAGCAGCTGTCTGGGAGCCTCTCACGATAGAAACGAGATCGGCTCTGCACGCTCAAATGGGGTCCACACTTCAATGCACCTGTATACACTGTAGCCTCACTGAGGTTTGGGAGGGTCAAAGAGCTTCCTCACTGAGGATCATCCGCCTTGACGATCAGTCAGTCGCCAAAAGGGGAATGTAGCCAGCTATGGGAGACTCGTGTGGCTTGTTGTATGTCCATCAATGGTCCCGCAAAGCCCATGCGCCTTGGCTACTTCTCCCATCATCACGGGGTGGCCGCGCTAGCGATGCAGGCCCAAAGCTGCCGCTGGTTCCGCTATCACCCTGCCTGTAAAGAAAGTGTGGTCAAAGCGACACACTGGCTACAAGGGGAAGCTCCTGGAATTCCGTCCAATCCAAGACTCAAATCTTCGCAGCATTAAAGAATGCTTGAAGAGGCACTAGAGGCACTGGCTCTAGATTCTTGCGACTTCTAGCTGCACTGGGGTTCGAACTGCTCCATAGGCACTTGTTGTTCAAAATGCCATGCGGGTGTCGGTGTCGGTTGGACCTTCATCACACAACAAGGCAGAACATGTCGAAGTGTTATTGACATGCATTGACAGCGCTGGAAACAGAAACGACGCACATTGACAGCACTGGTCGGACAACCACGATGGACCAATGCTCGAAGGCTTCACTCCTTGTGCCTTCTCGTCTCAGGTGAAGGTTCTTCCGTCGCCCAGGTCGCGTCCCCTCACATCCACGCCGGTCGCTCCCGCAAACAACGTGCCACCTCCGCGGTCGGCTGCATCATTGGCACCGTCTGGCGCGGACCCGCGTTTCGCGCGGACCGACCGCTTCGGGGGGGGAACCAGATCCCGGGCGCCGAAGGCTCGGAAGGCGCGCTGCGAAGGAAGCTCGAAAGGGACGTGTCGTGAAGCAGATCTTCCAGAGGAAGAAAGGCCGTGGCGAAGCGTCTTCAGATGTCTTGAGATCGAACCAAACTGCTTCGATGTTCCGGTCTCGTGCTGCTTTCGGTGGCCTGCGCGGGTCGCAACGTGCTTCTCTCTGCTTGTGGCGTCGCCACCTCGAGGAAGACGGGGTAGGGAAGTGGGAAGTTGAGCCCCCAGAGATTCCATTGGATTCAGCCACCCTCATTCCCTACATTTCCCTACTATATAAGCACTCCCCGGTTCGAACGAGGGACCAAGACATCTAGGCACTTCAGCCTAGTCTGGACCCGTCCACGTGGCGAATTACCGCGGGTCCACCGTCGGAGACCGAGCTCCCAAGGTTTGGCGGACCGGACGACCGGACGACCTGACGGCTCCCGCTCCAGCGGGTCACGGCCCCATTCGTCTCCGGGAGCGTCCGTGGAATCCACTGAATTCGTCTCCCGTGAATTCCTGGCAGCTTCCAAACACAAAAGTCCCCTGGGACCGGCACCGAGCCACTGGATTCGGGCCTGCACGGCAGGATGTCATGGGGTAACAAAGTTTGCCACCCATGTAACATGCACTTGGCCCAGATGCAGCCGTATTATCGCTCTCTAAGAGAAATACCGGTGACAGATCAATCCCCAAAGGTTCCGAAAGAAAGGATAGGAGTTGTACCAAGAACCATGAATCAGCACGCATGCAAGTCGCATGCAAGTGGCAACCCAGTGTTTTCTTTTTTCCAACAGTGAACAAAAACTGCTATTTTGGGGGGGTTCAAAAAGTATAAAAATAACAAAACCCTCTTGGAGGCACCTGATTTTGTTTGACAAACATCTGCACCTGACGGTTTCTTCGGTTTGAACGTTTCAGTCGCTTCTCCAAACTTCTGGAAGAGCCCTGAGCCCTGTGGAATGCCTCATGCTTCTGGAATGGGTCTGCGATGGCGGCCGTAGGGATCGAGGGAGCTTGATGCCCTGCGGCGGTTTTCGCGGCCGACCAAACAACGGCGTCTTCCTCTTCAAGTGAGACAGGACGGCACCAGTTGCTTTTGCTGGCAGAAAAGGCAGAAAAGGCCCAAAATACCCAAAAATACTGGTTGTCATCCCATTGCCATGTAATGCTTAATGCTACTGTAAACCATTGCTGGGGGGTCGTACCTCAAATTTCAAGTGTAGTCGGCCGAGGAAAGCAAATTGCGGGTCAAGCTGTGGTTTGCCAATGGATGCTATGTGATGCTATTATCACTTGGAAAGCAGTGTGCGGGTGCGTCGGACGGCGCACAAATGTCAACGTCCTCTTCCTGTCGTGAAAGCCTAGAAAAACATAGAAAACCATAGAACATCATAGAACACCCTCTTTAAAACTTTATAGCATCCTTTTTCCTGCTAAAGACCAGGAATCCTGGCAAGATGGGGTACCAAAGGCCTCTCCAACCTCGCCGCCAACCACGGATGCTCCGGCGAACCCCGATGCCCCACGGACCCCGAAAGCCAGCACCTCAAACCAAGGCATGCGCAGCATCTCGCGGGCGCTCAAGCGTCGGCGCGGTTCCATCACCAAAACGCCCTGGTCGGTGCGGTGCGGTGTTCCACGGGCGCGGTGTAAGCGCACGCAGCGCGTACCGGCGGGTCACGACCCATCGGGTGAAACGGGAGGTGCCGGTGCGGAACGCAGCGGTATATGGGCACTGAAGAAAAATTGTATACTGATACTGTATACCAAAAGGATCCAAAAGGTATAAGCAGCTGCAGCAGCTGCTCCTGAAAGAGACATGAAAAGAAAGACCTCAGATGACCTTTAACACCCGTTTTAGAGATTCTGACGTCGTCTGCCCCACGTCGTCTGCCATCTCGCCTTGAGCAATTGCATCTGCGCCTTGAGCATTCGCCGCAGGTAGCGCTTCTCCAGCGTCTCTGGTCGGCTCACATCCGGAAACTGCCGCGTCGCGGTGTCGGGCCGTCGGGGCTGAAGCAGTGGCGAGCTGGAACATACTGGAACCCCCCGTCGGGGCAAAAGAGGCTCAATGTGGATCTAGAAGAGAATCATTCCTATGTGTCCAACCTTGATTTGATCATGACATAACATGAGTCTTGGCAGTCTTGGTCTTGGACGGCCAGGATCATCCCCCCTTCCACCGAGACCGACACCGGCCCCGATCTCCGCTTCGATCTCCGGCGCTGGCGCCTCGCCTGGATGCCCAAAAAGCGTGGGTTCCTTAAGAACATTTCCATGTGCTCTGGAGTCAAGGGCCCCAGCACCTCGGGAGGTCGTCGATACGACCAAAAGGGAAGAACTCGACCCCCTCGTCGTGTCGTCGTTGTGTGTGATGAATGTGTTGCAACCAAACACGCCAACAGTTAGGCAGCTGGTGTTGTGCCCTCAATCTTCTTCTTCTGCTCCAAAAACTCTTACGGGTGATGTCTTAGGTGCTTTCAAAAAGGCTCCGTATCTCGCGACGTCTACGTTCTCCGATCCGACTCCACACTGGTTGTTGGTCACCCGGGTGCGGCTTGGTGCCACCGAACCGGCACCGACTTCGGACGCCTGGCAACCAGTTCGGCCCCCTTCGGCCCCCGGGCTTTCTGGATCACGAAGAGTTGGTCGACCTGCCGCCACCCGAACGACCGATCTCGGTCGGAGGGGGTCCCACGGTCGCGGACGGAGGGACGGCTGCGGACGGCTGCGGAGGGCAGGAGTCCATGTGTTGCAGTAGTAAGGAATCCAATACAACCAGTCTTTTGAAGCTCCGAAGCAGGTGGAATGTTGCAAGTGTCTGGTGATGACACCAGCGATGCGGTGGCTCGTGTAAACTGTGCAATTTTGATCAACCCACGCGAAAACTGAGCTTCTCAGGCCTGAACTCAGCTTCTCTATAAGCTGACCCAGGTCCTTTTGTGTCAAATCCCAACTAGGCATCAGTGTGGGAAGTTCAGACTGCATCTCCAAACAGGATCGTGTATTTTTCAGGCGCAGCAAGCCGAGGGAGGATGGTGAGTCAGCTGGGTGAGTCGGCTCGGTGACCGCGACCCATGGTGAGATCCGACGATGGCACCTCCGACTCCCCAGCAAAAAGGGGTTGACCATCAGTCAACTCACCTCGGCAGGCAGTGACAGGCCACAGAAAGACGACGTTTTGAGCAACAGGCAGGCAGCTGAACAGCCTGAAATCCTATCTTCCAGCAGCCAGCATGCTAGGATTGACCTGTGAAATGACCCATGGAGTTCGTGGAAGTCCAGGTGCCAGGCCCATGATGCATCCAAGCGCCCAAATATCAACATCCTGGGAATCGTGTGGTTTGAAAAAATACGAAAAAGCTACGGCCTAAAACCGTAGCTTGGCTTAGAGTCCCTATTTAAACAGACACTAAAACTAAAACCATATGTAATCATGAATCATACATATTTATATGTGAATCCAGTGGAGTCGGAAGGCAGGGTTCCTTCGAATGTGTCCCATCGCAATGACGATGGCTCAAGGCACCAACAGGCTGGCATATGGAAAAGGCGTGGCCGCCTTGCTGGAGGGGATAGGATTTGATAGGACTGTAGGTTTGGTAGATCCCCTGAAGGAATCGTTACCAGTGGGACTGCATAGCACTCACATTGGTAGCGGAGCCGGAAGGGGCCCGTAGAGTAGGATCTCACGGAAAGCCATGGCTGAATCTTCAAGTGGAGATACAAAAGGGTCTGGTTTTTGGACATTGCTGCCCACCTTTGATCCAGCGACCGATGACGTGAAAGAGTATGTCTCCAAGGTGAAGTTTTTGGCTGGGATATGCCCCAAGGAAAATCGAGGAATGCTGGCACCAAGGTTAGCTTTGCAATGCAGAGGGACTGCATGGCATCAAGTGCGAGCCATCAAGCCAGAGCTCCTGACTGATCCCGAACACGGGATAACTCACCTGCTTTCCGCCCTCTCAACCTGGGAGGAACTGGCAGAGTTGAAACGTTCGAACTCTTCGATCGTGCCATCTACCGGACGACCCAGAAAAGCGACGAGTCTGCACAGTCATTTGTGAATAGACTACAGGTGGCCTTCGAAGAACTTGGACCAGATACAACAATCAAGTCGGTCAAGGCCTTCGTATTGTTGAAACAGAGTTCATTGAGCAGTGATGACAAAAAGAAAATATTGACAATGACCTCAGGTGTTCTGGAAGTGGGCGCAGTGGAGAACGCCATGAGGAGCCTGTCAACCAATGTTTTGTTGGGAGCCGGCATTGGAGAGAAGAAGAAAGTTTATCCAACAAACTACATCGAGCCCGAGGAGGATGCAAACAATGCCACAGAGTTTCAACCGGAATCCGGCCATGCATACATGGCATATTCAGAAGATGATGACATTACAACAGAAGCAATGGATCAGTTGTTGGCTATGGGGGACGCTGACGCTCTCTTGATCCAGTCCTTCGAGAAAGACCTGGAAGACATGTTTCAGGAAATCCCTGACTTGCAGCATGCTCTCATCTCCTATCAGGAGGCCCGTGGGAGAATTCGAGAGAAGCACCGAAGCAGGGGATTCTGGCCCGTGAAGGGTGGAGGCAAGTCTGGAAAAGGTCACGGATTCGGAGGAAAAGGATTCCGAAAAGGTCGAGGCAAACAAGAGCTCATGGAAAGAATCTCAAGCACACACTGCAAACTATGCGGAGAAAAAGGGCATTGGAAGGCAGAATGCCCTCGTCGAGGTCAGGAACCAGCTCAAGCCAACTATGTGACGGAACCCGCTGGAGAAGATCTGACCTACAATGACGATCAAGTCCAATTCGAAGTCATCGAGAGTCAGGACCTGAAACAAACGCAAACATCAAATGAAAGCCTATCCAGAGAGCTTGAATGCAATTCGATCGAACCGAAAATCAACATGATCAGTTCAAAGGGCAGCAAATTATCGTTCGCTTTGCACACAAGCATAATAGATAAGAGGTCCATACAAGATAAGATAAACAAAAGAATGAATGAATGCAAGATTGTGCAAAACATTCGCAGGTTGAAGCCGAATGCACGAGCAAGTCAGCCTCAAGATCCTCCGATCTTTCAAGGCTGCACCAATAGCATCTCGGCCGAAGATCCGAAAACTCAGGGACAAGCAATTGTCGACACTGGAGCCAGTCGCAGTGTCATCGGCATAGACAATGTTCCTGCCTTTTTGAACTCGCTACCAACCAGCGTGCGCAATCGAGTGAAAGAGAAGCCAAGTCGCATCGGATTTCGATTCGGAAATAATCAAATCGAGTATAGCTTCAAGCAGCTTCGTATCCCAATAGACTGTGAAGCACTTCGAATCTGGTTAGTGATAGAAGTTGTTCCAAAAGCAACCCCATTCCTGCTTTCAATACATGCAATGAAGAAGTTAGGAGCCGTGATTGACTTAGCTAGAGGAACATGTGTCTTGCAAAAGGTGAACAAGTCGATAAAGGTCATTGAAGGCAAAACTGGTCTGTTACATGTCCGTATTTCAGATTTGTGCCAAGACTCACAGTTGCCTCATGCACCGACCATCACCATGCAAGCTTTTCACACCTCAAGTGAAATCAAGAAAGCTGAACGCACCGCGATTCGAGCACCAGTTGACCATGCCGACTCGGGGAGAAGTGATGAACATGGTCCGACAGATCGCCGATTCGATCATGCAGTCACTCAAAATTCTGCTGACGATTCTCATGAACCAGGCAGCAACTCAGGTATCCGACCAACAGGTACCTACGGAACATGCCCATCAGATGAATCAGCTGACCATCGAAGTGAACAATCAGCGACAACGGATCGAAGAGATTGCAGAGATGCTGAAGCAGAGTGGAAGTGTGTCCCCTTCCGCAAAAGGGGGGAACCCAAGGGCAATCACCTGCAAACACAGAGCAGGGATCATCGAGTTTCCACCTGGTCTCGGAGGAAGATTTCGAGTTCTGGACACAGGAAATGATGATTGCCCAAACGACTGGGCCAAGGACACCACCACCCGGCCGGAGCACCCAAGCAGCTCTGATGCAAGCTTTGAGTTCGGCAACAAAGAACGAAGCCAGGCCAAAGACAGTTCCATCGATCAAGGGACTGGCAAGCATGTCAAGTGGAACTACTGGAAGCCCATCAAAGACACATCCAGGGACGGCAGCACCCATTCTGGTCTCCGCAGCGGCGATGAGTTCTTTGACAATGCCGCAAGTGCCCGAGGATGTCATGCCATCAAGTCCACCGCAAGGAATGGATCTGGCATGGACTCAAGCAGCTCTCAACCAATGGGGAAACAAGAGAGTGACGTGGGGG